TCTCCAGAAATCAAAGAATTAGCGTGAGAAGCTCAGTTTTTACATACTCTTCAGAGAGAGGTGTTTTCTTGAATGTTTAACTTAGAGTTTCTTGATATTAGAGTTGATCATTGGAATTTCGATTATAAACTAAGACCATGTTCTTATGCAGCCATATTTTCATATCCCCATCTTTGTGAGGATAGATATTCAATAAATGTTGGTTGAATAAGTGATTAGTACTTTACTAGGCTGAAATGGTAGATGGTCATTTGAGCAAGTGAAATAAAGCTTATTAAATCATAAATTAGGGTAATAATTTCAAGTTTCACATTTTAGGAAAGGAAGAGTATTTAATATTGAGAAATTTTTTAATTAGGGGAACTTTAGACAGGGAACAGAGTTTGTTACTCCCCTCGCCCCCTCCTCCACAAGGAATATACCAGAATTCAAGAAATGGCACTCTGAAATCCAGACATCTGCCCAATGACTGGCAACTGGTACAAGCAAGTATGAATTTTCACAGTGGTATTCAGTTAGCTCTTGGCACCTGTCTCCAGGAACACAACAGTGGGAAGGAAAAGGAATAAAGTCTTTCAAGGTGACATAATGTTTGGGAGCTTGGCCAATCTCACCGGGGTTTTTTCTACTCTACCATTGTTACTATTGTCTTCTAACTTTTGAGCCCTACAAGGCCTTTCTAGCACCACTTCCTAGCCCAAATGTTATAAATACTTCTACTTCTAGAGTTATCTCTACTTCCTATCCTTAAGTGTCTTTTCTCTTCCTGGGCTGCAGTCCCATACTCCATTGTATTAGCTGCTGGTCCCTCTCTGTTTCTATCCACAAAATCCTAAATCACTCCAACCTCTAGTTTCTTGGGTAAGTTGTTGCCTAACCACCTTCCCAACTCTCAATATGATGAAATGTTTGTCTTGACATTACTATGTATTTTATTTACAATGCTACTCTTATGCCCATACTCTCACAAACTCAGAATTTGTCTTTGTCCTGTGTTTGCTATTTATCTCAAGAGCCAATCACTTAGCTCTCTTTATTCAAACCTATTAAGTAATACTTTTGGCCATATGGCCTATAAACCTCATTTAATTTAATCACATACTCCTATAACCCCTAATATGCTATTTAATTCTTAGGGGAATATTTACAAATATTTCACTTGCCTTTCATTGCCTTTCTCCTAACAATTGGCCTAGATTTGCCTTTTTAAAAATCTTTCAGTATACAACTTTCAACAACTGTAATTATGTCCTAAAATAGATCACTTGTATTGGCAATTTTACATATTTTACTTTGAGAATACTATATATATAAAGTTTCTCAAAAGCCAAAAATTAAACATGCATAAAACAATATTTAGAAGTGTAGGAACACTATGTCTCTTTTTGGAACTGAGCATCCTATATCAATACCCAATATTATTGTGTAGTGATCTCCTAGGATTAGCTTGAAAGCCATGCTAAACCTTTAGCCCATGGAATGAACTATGTGGATTGAATAATTTGAGCTATGTCAAAGAAAAAGAAATGTTAGTCCTTGATGGCTCTTTTCATTTGTCTGTTTTACATTTTTTCTTATTGCCAATACCTTTTTTCTTCATTTTGGAATAAATAAAATAGAAAAGAAAATTTTTTAAAAAACATAGATACCAACCAGAGAAAATTAAAACTACTTTTTGCACACTTTTGACAGTATATCCTTCTAGATCTTTTGCTCTGTGCGTTTATACTTTTTTCTCTAAGAACAGAAACTTTCTGAACTTACAATTTTATTTTTCTTCCTATTCCCTTTATTCCCCTCTTATGCAGGTGACAGGTAGATCATCTCATGAATCTGGGTTTCCCAAACTACCTAGTTTAGCAGGAGATGTTTCTCTATTTCTTTTTATATGAATTTCTTTTGTTTTTGTTTTTTCTTTTTTGTTTTCTGTTTGTGACACTGGATAACCTTTGGGGTTTGAATTTGTCTGTGTCCCCCATAGTAGGATGAATCCGTGTTTGGTATGTGTGCCGGCCAAAGCTAAGCTGCAAATATCTGCTTCCTCTCTTCCTTCCCCCCATATCAGGAACATATTTTATGTCAATAAATATTTATTTACAGCAGCATTTTCAAAGGTACAGTCTATTTTATTGATGAACATAACATATGTAAACACCCTCTACTGTTGAACATTTATGGGGTTTTCCCTTGTGTGTGTGTGTTTTGCTATTATAATCAATTCTGCAATAAATATCATTCTTGCTAAATCTGTACATATTGCTAGGTTTTCCCTTAGGATAAATTCTTTTTTTTTTTTTGTAATTTTTTATTTATTTATTTTTTCCCCCAAAGCCCCAGTAGATAGTTGTATGTCATAGCTGCACATCCTTCTAGTTGCTGTATGTGGGACGCGGCCTCAGCATGGCCAAAGAAGTGGTGCGTCGGTGCGCGCCCTGGATCCGAACCAGGGCCGCCAGCAGCAGAGCGCACGCACTTAACCGCTAAGCCACGGGGCCGGCCCTGGATAAATTCTAAAAGTAGAATTAATAGGTTAAAAGGTAGGCTTTCTTTTTTTAGGGCTTTGATACATATTGCCAAATTACCCATCAGAAATCTAGCATTGAGACTCCTGCCAGCAATACTGGAAATTTACCATAGTACCAGACTCTTACAAATTTTTTCCTTTAAAGTAATTGATAATGTAATGGATCTTGGCTTTCTAACTACACTGAGCGTCCCAAATGATCACCCATGTTTACAGATTCTTTACTACAATGTATTCCATAAATCAAGAGTCACAAAACTTTAAAAATGTTGGTTGATAGCTTGTTTGCTTGCAACGTTATTTGCCTGTAGCTTTAGGTGACGTCCGGTGAGGAGAATAAAGGAAACTAGTGGTGATACCCTAGCCTCAGTCTCCCTCCCCTCAAAACACAGCACTCGAGGGCAACTATTTATAAACTCATCTCTGGTGATCTTTCATAGTTAAAGAAGAAGACTTTATAGATATTCCAGTTCAAGATGATTAATGGATGCTTAATGGGTGATGATGCTGGTGGTGGTGATAATAATAATAAGGAGAAAGAGGAAGAGAATAATTTTTGGAGCTCTTATGTGCCTGGCATTCTGCTTAGGGCTTTAGTTACATTTTCTCATTTATTAAATGAAGAAACTAAATTCCTGAAAGGGAAACAACTTTCCTAAGATCAGTCAGTAAAGCCAAAGATCACACTCAGATTTCCTGACTCTCAGTACAAATCTACTCTCCATTATATAATGCTGGCTATATGAAAACCATTTTAAACATTTTAATCCCAAAAATTTCCACTTTAAATTTATAATTACAAACATCATTTCTATTGGTGCTGTTAAGTATTTATATAATGCATGTTGAAGGGCTTTAACCTTACTTTATCTATCTATATTCCCTAATAATAATTGTTATTATTTCAGTTTGCTGAATTGTTACTTTAGACATATTATCTTTATTCTTAAAAATAAGAGAGGAAAGTAAAATATTCTCATTTTATAAATGAGGAACCTGAGGCTCAGATGGAGCAATTAGCTCTTCTCAAGGAAGTCAGATAAGTAGTAGTAAAGCTGGGATTCAAGCCCATGTCTGTTTGCCTCCAAAACTCTTTTGTTCTGTTGTTGCTTATTAAAGAATAGAAAAATCAAACAAGCTTGAAAATGATTGATTTGGGGTTTGTAGAAGCATATACACCTTTCTCTCTGTTCTGTCTGATTCTTTTGGCCTATTTATGCCTCATTTCTTCTTGAAACTGACGTGAGGGATAAAATAGTACACTTTACTCTGTTTAAAAAAATTTCACACTGAGCCTTTCCCCTCTTAAATACTTGGAAAAAAATTTTTTTAGGAAGACCAAGAAATTGAATTAGAGATAAGAGATAACCTCAATAGGTCAATTTTCTAATTCTCATCCTTTCAATGACATATAAATGTATTTCTAATGTTTTTTGATTTCTATTCTTTTCTTTCATTTCTATAATTATGTGTTATACACTTAGATTATCAGAACTAAATTAAAGCATAAACTATGACTTTCTAATACTGAGTCAATAATTGGTGATAGGTAAACAAGTCTTCCCATTCCTGCAAAGCAGGTTATTTCCTTCACATTCCTTCAGGTGTATAGGGCCAGCTGGATAGCCTGCTTCCAGATTCTTTACCCCCTACTCTGTCTCCTACCACACCCAGTAATTGCAGAAAAATCCAAGGTCCTTTCTTTAATTATTCCCATTCACAGTGTTAGTCTAGCAGTAGATCATCAATGAGCTCACGTGCGTCATTGACTCATTGATTGCTTTCTGACAATATTGTCTGGAAAACTGGTATTGCTTTTCTTTCTTTCAAATGAGTACAAGAGGGAAATCTTTCTTTATTTTTGTAATAGAGACATATCAATAAATATGAAATTATGTAAAGTGAAATAAATTATTTTTAATTCACAGCTAATAAAAACATCATTCCCTGCTAGAAAATTTAACTATTATTAGATAAATCTTATTAGGTTTTCCATAAAATGACAAAAACTTATTTTAAAGGGCCATTCTTAGCAATGGATGCTGTAATTTTTGCCATTTTTTTGTAAAATTTTCCCACTCATCTAATTTCTTTTTGAAGGCAATAGTAAAGCAAAGTAGAGAAGAATGCCTTGGGGAACATCTTCCATATGTTATATGGCTGCCTTAAAGCATATTTGCACTTGCAGGACAGCATATTCTCTTAAATGAGCCCAGTGATATTTTGTGAATATTTTTTTTCCTATGGTGATGTAATCTAGTGTCTTCTTAGACCTCAGAAATGAAATTGTCTGATTTTCTATAGTTTCGTTAAGGTTGGCCCTGAATAGTAAAGCTCATTGAAAATTTTTAGAATCTAAAAATATGCCCCATAAATGATATAATTTAATTACACTCCAGATGTTTCATCTAAAATGCCTTTTCTGTCTTTTCCTTTTTACTCTTGCCCTCACTTTTAATGATCCATCGGCCTACAGTGTCTTTACGTCCAAAATGCAAAGCAGACAAATGGGCATCTCAGGGAAGAACATGACTAAAAGCACCAGCATCAGCGGAGACATGTGCTCGCTGGAGAAGAATGATGGCAGCCAGTCTGACACTGCAGTGGGCGCCTTGGGCTCCAGCAGCAAAAAGCGGCGCTCTAGCATTGGGGCCAAAATGGTAGCTATCGTTGGTCTCTCCCGGAAAAGTCGCAGCGCTTCTCAGCTCAGCCAAACGGGTAGGAATTTTTATGTTACTTTTGAATTCACATTTGAGTTGTAATTAAAATACATATTCTTTTCTCCTACTCATTTTATTGCAGTAATGTGTGGATGATGACATGTTCCAGAGGGAAAGAGGCATTTTAAACTAGTCAACCTTTCCGAAAATATAACAGTGACTTTGTTTTTCAGCAATGAGTGAACCTGCTTCAAAGTGAACCTTAGCCACTGTTCTTGAAATGCATTTAATGTCTTTCCTCCTCAGGGAGGAGTTACGCTGTGGTCTCCATGATTGCCAGTTGCTGATCCTTTGTAAAGGTACTCTGATCTGTGAGATATTTGCTTTGCTTTAGGTTCCTCAAGTTGGAACCTGCCAAATTAATTTTCATGCCCAGCAAGTTATGGTGATGAAGATGACACCTCATATTTTGTGTGAATAATGTAGTTCTTTTATTACTGACAACCTAACTTCTTTTTCAGTTTGTAAGCAGCATTTACCAGTAGTATCAATTTTCTTACTGCAGTTTTTATTTCCCTGTTAAAACTTCAAGCAACAATATTCTCCAGCAGCAGGGATGGAGGAATTTTCTGCTGACAGTGAAGATATTCAAAGCTCTGCTACTTTAAAATTCAGTTGCTAAATCACATCTGCAAAAATAAATTAGATACAACACTCCTACTCAGAAAAGCCACTGTTAGCAATTAAGAAATTTGTGAGTCAAAGAAATGTCTTTTTTCAAATGAGTGTTGATAATTAAACACTAAATCACTGGTATCTTGGAAATAATAGCATATCTTCTACTTAACAAACAAAAGCATATAATATGGTGTTTCTTTTACAGCAAATAAATTATAAGCAAATGGATTAAATCTCATTTATGTGTGAATACTAGGGTTCTTGTACACAAAAGTCAAGACATAAATCTACAACACAAAAGAATTTTGTGATTAATTCTGGACCCGGCTAATCTTGATGTTACAAACTATAACAGTGATTCTAGAATTTGAGCCTTTATAACAATATTATATTGAAATAGTTATTTGATGGTATTCTTTATACCCTGGTTGTAACTCCCTATATTTAATGTGATTATTGTTATAGGAATTTTTTTATTTGGTGTTTTAAAATATTATTTTGCATTTTAATATAGAAATAGAAATTTGATTTATTGACATAGAGATCATAGTTAAATGATTTTTTAAATTACTAATATTTATACATAATTAACTGTGTTGTGCTAATACAATAAATGTTGGCCCTTTGAAATTGAATTTTTTTATTATTTCTCTGGCAGTTAGAACTTTATTGCATTTTTCTCTTTAAAACTTATAAACATCTGTAACCCTAAAACTGCTCTAAAAGTAAATTTTATTAATTTAAAAACATTAAGAACTTAAAACAGACATTAATAAGACTACAAGTTAGAGAATATGTGGTGTTAAACTAAATAATTAACTCCATTCGTTCAGCATTTTTTGATAAATATTGAGCACTTACTATGTGCCAGTCACATGGAGAACAAAGATGAGTAAGAAATCATTTATAACCTGAGTTGCTTATAATCTAGTAGAAGATGGATACTTAAACAGATTGCCTCAATGTAATATGTCAGTGGTAAAACTAGAATTACATAGAAAGTGTGCTGGATGCTGAGAGGAAGCCCACTTGACTCCACCTGGAGTTCAGGAATGAATACCTGGAGGAGATGATACCTGAACTAAGGCCTGAAAGAAGAGTAACTGCTAACCAGGTAAAGAACAATTAGAAAGATGTTCCAGATAGAAACCATAATGAGCAAAGGCGTGGAGGCATGATTTCTACAGGAATGGTAGGTAGTTAGGTGTAATTTTAACATAAAATGTTGGGCTGAATGTGGCTAGAGATGAGGCTGTTATGTAAGTAGAGACCAGATCATGGAGAGTCCTATAGATTATATTAATTTATAGGTGTAAGAAGTTTTAAAAGGTTTTCAATAGAAGATTGATTTGATCAGATTTGTATAATACATAATTTGTAGGACATTCAGGCTGCCATTTATTTAACTAACAAGTATTTTTGGAGCATCTGCCATATGCCAGGGACTATCCTAAAGAAAACATAACCAAGATAAGACATCCTTCTCTTATAGCTTAGGTTCTAGGGGGGCTGCAATAAAGAAGTAAACTTAAGTCAGCATCTGGTAAAGAATATTTTAGGATGAATTAGCAGAGTAGTACAATAATTCAGGCAAGAGATAAGAACCTGAATTAAGTCAGTTGCAGTAAAGATAGAGAGAAGGTGATAGAGTCAGGGAATGTTTATAGAGCAAATTTAGTAGTCAGTCATCCGATTTAGTGACTGGTTGGATATGGGGAGGTGAAGGAGTAAGGAGTCTAAGATGATTTCTCTATCTCTGGCATACATCACTGGTGGATGGTCATAGTGCTGTTAATGGATATTGGAAGTACAGAAGAAGGAGGGAGAGGGATGAGTCCTGAGCCCATGAAGGAGATCGAGAAGGAATGATCATGAAGAAAGGACAAAAGCTATGAGAGAATAGTGTCACAGAAGCTAAGAGTATGGAAGATTTCAAGAACAGAATGGTCAATATTTCTCAATGATCAACTTCATATCTTTACAGTTTTGGCATAAATATCCCATATATCTTTCTTTGACAATATTTTTATTAAAAAAGTATGGATCTGTTGACCATACACTGAGATTCTGTGACAACATTGATTTAGTTTTCATGTATGAGTAGTTACAGGTTTTTTTCTTCAAAAGCATTGTGATGTTGGCAAATTTAAAAAGTAGTCTTGTTCCTTATTATATCGTATAACTCCTTCCTCTATATATAGCATAACAGGAAATAACATATTCCTTTTTGTCATTTTCATTAATATTCAATGACATTATAATAGCTAAAATTTTAAACATTCTTAAAATGTGCAATTATTCCTACCTATCTACTTAATAACTTTGACCTATTCACAATAGAATTCAGAATCTCTCTCATTTTAAAACCCAAGTTTAACTAGAGAATAGCCAACAGCAATTGTTTTGCAATTACTGGACTCCAAACTTTCAATGGGTTTCTAAATTCTATAATGGCGCATATATGTGTATGTGTTTCAAGTAAGATTTTTGTTTTCTTTTCTTAAGAAAAGAATTCAATCACAAGATCCAATAATATTTAAAACTCAAATCTTCAAATTTAATATCTAGACTATTTGATCATATGATAACATTATCTAAAATAATGAATTCATTTTATGATGTTGGATCTACAATAGATGCTTTGTTTAGACATAAATATATAAGATGTATGGAGTAACTTACCTAAAACCAAGAAATACATTTTCAAGTAGCATGTATGCATTTTCAAAAATTCATTTAGTATTCTCTTGATTTTCCTGACCTCTAAGGGAGATCTTCATGTAATGAAGTTACAGAGTTATCATTTAATGAATGATATACTATAATGTTTTCAATTTTGTGTGTGTATGTGAGAGGAAGATTCACCCTGGGCTAATATCTATTGCCAATCTTCCTCTTTTTTTTTTGCTTGAGGAAAATTAGCCCTGAATGTTTGTGCCAGTCTTCTATTTTGTATGTGGGTCACCACCTCAGCCTGGCTGATGAGTGGTGTATGTCCGTGCCCGGGATTCGAACCCACGAACCCGGGCCACCGAAGCAGAGCATGCTGAACTTAACCACTATGCCATGGAGCCAGCCCTGGTAGTGTTTTCAGTTTTTTAAGATGGAATTTATCATTGTAAAAATAAATATCATTGCACCGGTATGGATTTCAAGTCCAGACAAGACTGCTTACTTGTCTTCTGAAGAGTAGAAAACTGAGCAAAAGGAGATCTTTCTGAAGAATAGTGAAATTATTCTGGATGATATCATAGTAATCATATGTAAACAATAACCTGCAAAGGGGAAACCATTTATAAAGGTGTGTTGGCCAATACACATGGTAGCTAAGTTACATATCTTTTCTTCTGCCATGCTATTTTATATGCTTCTTTTTCTATTAATTGGAAACTCACCTTCAAAGTCACCATTTCTAAAGATTAAATATGACCTGCTAGGCATCATAACTAGTAGAAAGCGTATAGAGAGAATAAGGAGACTTGGATTCTATTGCTTACTCTGGGTTATATAAGATATCAACTGTAGCCTCTTTAAAAACCTACCCAGGGGCCGGCCCGGTGGCTTGGCTGCTGGGTGCGCGCACTCCGCTGCTGGCAGCCTGGGTTCGGATTCCCGGGCACGCACCGACGCACCGCTTCTCCGGCTGTGCTGGGGCCGCGTCCCACATACAGCAACTGGAAGGATGTGCAACTATGACATACAACTATCTACTGGGGCTTTGGGGAAGAAAAAAATAAAGGAGGAGGATTGGCAATAGATGTTAGCTCAGAGCCGGTCTTCCTCAGCAAAAAGAGGAGGATTAGCACGGATGTTAGCTCAGGGCTGATCTCCCTCACAAAAATAAATAAATAAATAAATAAACCTACCCAGCATATCTGAGTCACAGAATGGTCATCTGATGGAAGGAATTAACACCTGCTCTCCTAACAGGATTTTTATAAAGATAATATTTAAAAATATGTAAGAAAATGCTTTGAAAACTTAAAAATCACTTTGTAGATGTAAGATATCAATAGATTCCGCATGGTGGAATCAAGAATTCTATTTTAGACATTGATTTTGAGATGCCTGTTAGACATCTAAGTGCAGTTGTTATATGGTTAATTGGATATGAGTCTGGAGCCTAGTCGGTTAAGACGAAAGATGTAATTTGGGAGTGATCAGCAGGTAGTGTTTAAAGCCATGGCACTGGATAAGATTACTTAGGGTAACTTGAATCAAGAAGAAAACTAAAGACTGAGCCCTTGGATATTCCAACAGTCAGACATCAGGAAGAGAATCCATCAAAGAAAACTTGAGAGAGAGCAGGCATTAAAGAAAAAGAAAGAAGAATATGGTATCTTGGAAACCAAATGACTTTAAGAAAGATGATCAACTGTG